AGTCAGCAGGATCCTGGGTTTTGGAATGAGCATTTAGAATGATGACCACACAGGAACTGCCCCCCATCAAAATCAAACACTCCGGTCATGCGACCCCTAGGATCCTCCCCACTTTACAGATGAGGGAAATGAGTTGCAGAGAGGTTAAGTAGCTGCTTACAGTCACACTGCTGATAATGAAGACAGGAATTGAACTCAAATTCATCTGATTTCCAAGTGTATGAAATTTTATAGTTGAAGTCAGTCCTTCCCTTTCTCTACCTCCCCATGGTGTTTTGATGACTTTCCTTGAGATTTGACCACTTTCTTTAAGATTGTTCTCCATCAGAAGAAGAACTGCCTCTTGGACCCCTGCAATGACCTTCCAGATTGGAAGCAAGAGAAACAATCATAGAAGCTGCACTGATATCCCCAGAGTTTTCATTCTGTCTTTCTGGAAGGAAGGTGGTGGTGGAGGCACACAGAACTACAATATCTTCAGCTTACTGTTCCCCAAATGCCATTTCAGAGCCACTTCCATCCCCCTCTCCTCCCCGCAGAACCAGCCAGACGTCCTCCCGCCCACCCACCATGTGCTGGCCATGTGCAGTTAAGCTGTCTGTCCCTAGCACCTCAGCGGGGTGGCAACAGCTCGGTCCTATCAGCAATCAGCTGCAGAAACCCCACTGCTCATCCGCTCCCCTGCATCTTGAGCTAGAAATAGCCCTGGAGTTTCCACGTACCATAAAGAGCAGAACAGGGGTGGATGTGGGTAATTTTTTTTAAAGCTATTTGGCACAAAATTGTTTTTCTTTTAGGCTGTGTACCTGAATTCTTTCCAGTGTCGATAGACCCCGTCCACGTTTGGGGAGAGGAAGCCTTATGCTGTTAGCCAGGACGGAGACAAGGGCCGGCAGGCAGCAGCCCCATTGTTGGCCATCCCAACCCCCTTCATCTCCAGGGAAACAGGGTGGCTCTTTTCCTCTTGCTGACAGTTTGGGTTTTAGATGTCCTCTTACAAATCTCCCTGCTCTTACTAGGAGACAGCCCTTACCACTCTGAGAACTGGATGTACTGGAGTGGATATAAGGTGGTGGAGAGGTGGGAGGCAGTCAATGGTTCACAGAGTGAGGCCATCAGAGTAAGCAACACTCCTCCTCTCTGCTTTCTGATTGAATGCTAAGTGTGGGTTCTTTCCACCCTCTCTCATTACTTTATCAGTATTCTTAAGAACGTGAGGATTCCTCACTGGACTACCTCCATCCTTGGGACCCCTTTGACATAGCCTCTTGTCAAGGTTCATTGTCAGGAAGAAGAGCTTGCCAAATTCCAGTCTCTACTTACCCCCTTGGCTGGGTGCCTTGTGCAGGAACAACTTGCACAGCTGTACAAGGAATGCCTTGTCCTCTCTGCCCACCTCCTCCTGCCAGTGTACAGATAGGCATTTCTCACATCCACTTCTGCTTTCCACGGTCCATTTCCTCAAGGTCAAAGAATCAGCTGCATTCTATATATCCTGTCTCCTGAGCAGTTTTAATCTGAGAGCTACCAGAAAAGGAAGGGTCCTAGACACCGAGGATCCACACTACAAGGGAGAATTCTTGTTACCAGGTTGTTGGCTCAGGCAACTGTCACAGAGCATGCAATTTTCAAACACTGTGGGACATTAGTCACCTAGCTTTCAAAATGTATTCTTGCCTGAGTCGCCTATAAAATCTCCTTTTGCGGGGTAGGATGTAATAAGGGTTAAGGAAAAACAGAAAAAAGACAATTGAATAGACTGGAAGATCTTTATTCATTATTTGTTCACCAAATATGTATCAAGTGCCCATAGTGTGCCAGGAACTCTACCAGGTGCTAAGAGATATAAGAAGGAACAAAAAAGACATGATGCTTGCCCTTATAAAACTGATAAAATGGGGAAGAGAGAGATTGAAAAAAGAATCCCACAAATGCACATAGTTACAAGCTGTAAATTTTCATGAATGAACAGTACTCACTGCCCTTGAGAACAGAGATTATGTCTTATTTGTCTTATTTCCAATGCTTGTTCCTCAGTAGGTGCTAAAGAAATATTTGTAGAATCAATGGATGGGTGGCTGACCATAGGAAAGAATGATTGCATAATATAAGAATCATGTAAAAGTGCATCATTAATAAGAAGTTGTGAGGATTGAGAGCCAATATTCCTGGGCAATTTTCTCACCTTGGTTATTAAACTTTAATTGTGATCTGAGATTATTAAATCTCTCTGCAGGTCAGCTGTAAGTTGGAGTGGTACACAGAGTGCTAGGCATGCAGAATCTCCTCACCAGGCCTCGTTTGTTACTCTGAAATTCTCTGACTAAAGGTCCATTTCTGGCAACCACGTAATTTAAATAGTTTTTCAGTAGGGGGGGGCAAACTCTGCTGCAGGTGCTGTGGGATTTCTTTCACCTTTAGTCTTCATAGCCTTCTTTAGGCTTTCCTTTGGGCTTATGTCATTTTAGTTATCTCTGAAGCTCTGATTTCCTACTTGTTTGGTTGAAGACTCTTTGGTTATAAGATACTGAAGCACACTTAAAGGAACTTAAAAAATTGGAATTATAAGGAAAGAGAGGAAATCTCCTAGCAGCCAGTTTAGAAAGGGGATGTAACGATTCTGTCTCTCACTCCTTCTCTCTCTTTCTTCCCCCACTCCCCACGCCCTGAAACCATGATGCCTCTCATCTCTTCTTTGCTCTGCTTATCTTCTCCATTATCTGTACAGGCTGCCTTTCTCTTCAAGGTTCTTGTTAGGATTACATTGAATCTATAGATCAAATTGGGAAGGACTGACATGGTGACAATATTGAGTCTTCCTATCCATGAACATAGATTATCTCTCCATTTATTTAGTTCTTCTTCAATTTCATTCATCAGAGTTTTCTGTATAGATTTTGTACACATTTTGTTAGGTTTACACTTAAGTATTTCTTTTTGGGAGGAGTGCTAATGTAAATGGTATTGTTTTTGATTCCAGATTCTACCTATTCACTGTTGGGTATATAGGAAAACAATTTTGTATATTAACTTTGTATCCTGCAAACTTGCTATAATGACTCATTAGTTCCAGGAGTTTTTTAGTTCATTCTTTTGAATTTTCTCCATTGATGGTCATATCATCTGTGAACAAAGTCAGTTTTATATCTTCCTTCCCAATCTGTACACCCTTTATTTCCTTTTCTTGCATTATTGCATTTGTAAGGACTTTCAGTATGATATTGAAAGTAGTGGTAAGGGGACATTCTTGCCTTGTACTTGATCTTAGTGGAAAGCATCTATTTCTCACCATTAAACATGATGTGAACTGTAGGGTTTTTGTAGATAGTCTTTATCAAGTTGAGGCAGTTACAGTTTTTTTAAAAAAATGTCATTTTTTTCTGCCTTTAATTAAAATTATTTCAGTTAGCATCTTCCCTCCCTTGGGTTAGGCTATTCTCACTGGGTCCAGTGCAAAGGCTGGTTCCTGTCTATTCTTGCCACTCAAGGACCTGCCTACATTCGTGGGGAGTACACCCCATGGGTAAGAAGCTCTGGAGGCTGGGAGGCTAAGCAGGCAGCCAGTACTGGGGAATGGTGGGGAAGCTGATGCTGAGAGGGGAGTGGGCAGAGCCAAAATTCAAATCAGGTATGGGAGACTGTGGAGCAAAGTCAGAACCCAGAGATGAGGGCCCTATGTTTAGTAAAACATGGAGGAGCCCCAAGGCAGCTCGAGGGAGGCAAAGAACAGATGCAGAAGATCAAACTGACAGTGATCAAAGTGGGGAAGAGGAGGCTAAGCAGGTAGGTGGGAGGGCTCACCAACCAGAGGCTGTTTCCCAGGGAAGATTTCTGCATGCCTGGGGAGGCAGACCACACTTAATGGGCAAGAGTGAAAGAGCGGGTGGAAGGTGATTAGAGACTGACTAGAGCAGTTCTCATTCCTGGCTGCACATTTGAATCACTATTTCTTAATATAAAGGCTCCACGCCCCACATCCAGAAATTCTGACTTTTGTTTTTGTCCTAAAGGGAAGAAGAAACTGTTCACAATTTTAAGAGGTGGGGTGTGTGTGTGTTTGTGTATGTGTGTGTGTGTGTGTGTGTGTGTGTGTGTGTGTGTGTGTGTGGTGATGTTTATTTGGATAACAGATTGGGGAGACCAGTTAGAAAGGTATTAGGCATGTGACTGAAGAAGAGGTATTTTGCAAAAGCATCCCACACATTTAAAATATGTGGTACGGTTGGGAACCACTGTTCTAAAACAATAGTCTTTAATCTTGGCTGCACATTGCATTCAGCTGGGGAGCTTTAAAAACTACTGATGCCCAGACCTCACTCCCCAAAATTCTGATTTCACTGCTTGAGTGTTGCCTGTGCATGAGGGCTCTTCAAGACACCTCCAGATGTTTCTACAGTGCAGCCAGGGTTGAGAACCACTGCTTTAGAGACTTGCCACTCGAAGTGTGGTCTGAAGACCAGCTGTATATACGTCATCTGGGAACTGGCTAGAAATGCAGAATCTCATCCAGGACCTACTGACTCAGAATCTGCATTTTAAGGAGATTCTCTAGGGGATTCTTGTATATAAAAGTTTGAGAAGCACTGGTCTAGAGTAGTGAGTTGCAAACTGTGTTCCGTGCAGCAGCAGCAGCAGCGCTTGAGAACTTGTTAAAAATGCAAATTCATGGGAGACTCTGGAGTGTTGGAGTTCAGGATTCTGTTTTAACAAGCCATCCAGGTGATTCTGGTGCATGCTAACATTTCAGAACCAAAAATCTAGAGGGATAAAGCAGTATTTCAGATTGAGAATCCACTAGGGAATCTGGCCAGCTGAGTATTCTAGAGTCTTGGGGGTTAGCTCAATACCCTAACCTCTATGTATAACTTTGGCTTCCAAATAAAAAAAACTGAGATGAATAAGTTTCTCTTCTGTGAGACTCACCTTCCTCCCATCTTGGGACACATCCAGTTGGAGTAGGCTTGACATTATTCTCATGGTCTGGTCTCTCTGATCTCCCACTCAGGATCCCTGCCAGAGGCTACATCGTCTCCTGCTCAAAGACTGACTTGCTGATGCGTTTCATATGAAACAAAGAAAAGACGGGGGCAGAGCAAACGGGGAAGGGGAGCAGCACAGCTGTGGAGACTTAAAAGTGCAACCCAAGAACTAAGGAAGCGAACGCCGTCTGCTCACAGGAAGCAGGTATTCTCTGCGGCCCAAATGCACAAAGTGAGATCTGGGAAGTGGTCTTGTGACTTAGCCAGGCCTTGGGGAGACAGCAAGCTGTAGTAAAGGAGCAGATTTTGACAAGACAACTGGGAGGGGGCGGGTGGCGGGACTAACATCTCACACCAATGAGATCAAGGGTGGGCTTTCCTCTGTTTTGTGGATTTTCAAGCAGTGTTCAGAAGGATCTGTAAATGTGCTTCAGGGGCAGGTTAGAGGGCTGAGTCTCCACTGGAGTATTTAATATGGTACAGGAAGAAGTTTTATGTCCTCATCATGCTCCTCCCCTAGTAGGAAGCGGCAGCACAGTGGAGGGTGGTCCTTTGGCGAGAGTAAACACAGTGATACTTTGTTAGTATAAGAATGTCATGTTAATGGGGATCATATGTTTCTATGATGGGATAATTGAATATTATTTTGAGGTTTGTTCTTGCTATTTTTTTCTCCCCAATTCCAAGAAGGTAGCTAGGCCCTATGGGGTTCTTTCTGCCAGAAAATTTTCCAAAACTTGGAAAGAAGCAAGAGGGAGTAGTACTAGATGTTAAATGCAGTGCTGGACTTGACTTTCTATTTACTAAGGCAATTTTAGAACTCTGTAGAGGTGAGATTAACTTACAGACTTTTACTGAGTAGAGACACAAATAATGTCTGTCCAGCTGAACAGATAACCACTCTGCAAGGTTATGATTTATGGCCCTGTTAGACATTAACCAGTTGTGTTTCTAATCCAGCAGTCTACGAACTTGTGCACAGATACGAGATTCTCAAAAGCTCTTTGGACCAGCCTTACCAGTTCTCTCATAAATTGGAGTTGAATGTAATTCATTTTATGTTTACATGAGAGTCATGCTTTTTAATCTTTTGAAAATTTTACACTCCTTCAGAAATGGTTTCTATTATAGACAATCTCTCTTTCTGGCTTTTGTTTTTCAAAAGCCTGAGCTGCTTCTGGGTTTATGCAAAATGGGGAGGAAAATAAAGCAGAAGCAGGGAGACAGAGTTGGGGAGATTCCCCAAGGTCATGTTGACCCCGGGCCCACTCTCCCACAGAGTCCTGGGAAAGTAGCAGGATTTCCAGGGGGGAGTACTGAACAGGGCACCTCGGAGGCTGCATCCTAAGCATGGCATTCCCAGTCTCCACAAAGTTCCAAGTATAGAGCAACAGTTCTGATTAAAGTCACTGGATTGAAGGGGCCTTCAAGGGAGACCTGTGTGAGCTAAGCACTGGAGGGTCAATTAGGCTCTTCACACCACCCTGGAGATCTCCAGTAATGACTGAGCTCAAATTTCCCACCAGCCCAGTGGGCCAGAGACAGAATCAGAAGCAAATAAAGCAAATTAATGTGATATTTCTCAGGTCCCTGGATAGTGTAATAAGATTCCTGCCTGCTACATTAGCGAGAGAAAGTTTTGTCCTATGACTTCAAAGTGTCTGAAAGGCCCCAGAACCCTCCCACAAAGAGGAGAACAGAGCAGCTAGTAGGGAGGTGTCCGTAGTCCCCTGGGGAACCTGATTAGCCTCTTCAAATCCATCACCAATGCTTGAAAATAGTTCTCACCTCCCTGGGGGGCAGTATCTGGTCTGCTGCAAGGTAGGGTCAATCAAGCTTGTGCATGTGGTCACCATAATTACTCTAGGGTGCTTCGAGAGAATGCTTGGGAGGGTCCCTTGAGCAAAAATACCAACCTCAGCACCTAAGTCAGAGCTTCATTCCTTCAAATCTTCAGATTTTCAGATTTCAGTACACATATTCCTGGGAAACCATAAACCTAAGCATTTGTATTTAGTGTTTCTCAGGTGTGTTCAATGAAAATAGTTCAATGCATCAGAATCACCTGGGAAACTTGATAAAAACGTGTATACCTGCACGCTGCCCCAGACCTGTTGAATCTGCTCCTCCAGGAATGAGAAACGGGGCAGGATGTCTGTACATTTAACAGGTGTCTTAGGTGATTCTGACACCCTCTCCATTCTGAGACTTTCTGGGGTGGAGTTAGAGTAAGGGCAGCAATTTGACCATAAGCATGTGGGGCAGGGGCACTATCCTGGGGGGCCAAATGACACACAAGGAGTGAATAGCCTCCCCTGTCTCTGTAACACCTGTGCGTATGGGCCGCTAGCCTTTTCCGTGGAAGAGTGGCCCTAACCCCATCAGGCCTTTCAAGCCTTGCTGTTCACAGCAGGGTCAGACAGCATCAGTGTCAGTACAGCCCTGGAACTTGTTACAAACTCTGACTCGCATCCCCTACTCCAGCTCTAGGGACTCAGGATTTGCATTTTAACACAATCCCCTGCTAATTCTCTTGCACATTAAAGTTTGAAAAGCACCGGTCTAAGGCCGGGCGGGGACACTGAGTGGTTTTGTGTAATAGCAGACGCCCTCTCCGGGGCTCTTGCAGTTCCAGGATCCCTGGTCTGCTCCTCTGTGCCCTTCTGTGGCTCAGCCAGCCTGGGCCTCCCACCCGGCAGCCAGGACCATTTCCCCGTCCCGCTTCGGGCACTCCACCACGAAGGGGAGGTCAGCACGGGGCTGCAGCGTCTCCCTAGCTCGCCTTCCCAGGCAGCTGGGAGCGATGCCCATCTGCTCCCACGGCAGGGACAGGCGGCTGCAAGACCAGTCCCCTTGGAGTGGCCGAACTGAGAGGTGGTAAGAGAAAAGAGTGAAATTGCACCGGACCCCTTTGGCTGCAGGCTGTGGAGGCGAGAGAAACAAAGGGGACGCGGGGGTAGAAGCCTCTCTTCGCCCTGGCCCTGCAGCCTCCCGCTGGGTTGGCTCCCTCTAAAGTCGGTCCTGGCTGCCCTCCCGCTGCTCAGCGCTCGCCCACACCGTCCTTCC